AAATCGGCAGTCATGAGACCGCGACCAAAGCAGGCGTACGAAAGTGCATGTTTATTAGTTGCTTAAAAACCTGAGTTCTATCACTGTAATTTGCAGTGTATAGTAACAGAAAAACCTCACATTTTACCCGTTGAGCAATGCTTGTACAGAATATTCAGTGGAATAGATTTCCTGTCATGATGGATTCACACCTTCATCTTCTCATTTTACTTCCTTTTATTGATTATAAAGAGACAATTCTCACGTAAGGGGAAGCGGCCGATCAAAGGGCTGCCATACACGACACAACTGGGGAAATTCAGGCGGTGGTGGTGGGATTCGAACACTCGTCCTCCGGGGTGATAATTGGTAGCGTTACCACCGGGCCAACACCGCCCTGTATGCTGGAAAAGGAAAGCCACCACAGTAACGACTATTTTCAACGCATGACCAATACAGAGCACCGTTTGAATTTATGCTAAACGCTCTAACTGGGGTGTGTGTGGGGGATTAGAGTTGACAATTTGCATTACTCACATCGACCGACCACCACGGGATTGGTCTCGAAGAACCGTAATACAATCCACCGGAGTATCAAGTCCAGATTGACTAGAGTGGCTTCTTCGCCTTCCGGTGTATCGAAGAACCGTGTCAGTTGATCCAGAGCCTTCACATGCTGTTTGAAATCGGAGTGGAACAACAGAGCGTGCAGATCTGGGGATGTGCCTGCGTTGAGGAACAGCTGGTTCAATTGTTGAACGTGATCGCGTGTTGGTGCATCGAAATCCCATTTCAGCAGCTGGAGGACGAGAGGTGTGGAAGACAAACAAGGAAATGCGAGACCGTTAAATACAATGAAGGCACTCGAGAACATGTGATTTCAGTGCGCGACCAGTTCAGCTGAATGTAATCATGAGCAAACAATTTCAGTAGGCTACTAGTTATTATTGTTCTAAACCAAGCGACTAACTACAGACATTCAGTGGGATAAAGTATGATATAGCAAGTCAACGAACTGACAGGAGAATCTGTATAATTGACCCCGTTGATCCAAACGATACCGCAACGCCAGTATGACAGTGATGAACCGGCTGAGCGCGGGTATGTATTCAGGTCAAATGCGGTGGTGCGCGGTAACTCTATAATTCATTTCACGACACGACCGCGATACGGCAATACGTTAAATCTAGGAACATACCACTCAGAAAGGTAAGTTGATCTCGGTACTCGAGCAATGCTGAGGTAGGGGGCAGAGTTTGAGGTCGCCCACTGGAGCAAGTGGCTGACCTCCATAGACTATGTTAGTTGGGACGTGTTACGCATGTCATCAGATAGTTTGCCATGTCGAGCGATGTTTGCCGAGACAGGCAGTGGGTGGAAGAAGTTCAGTCCAGTTCAGTTTAAACAACGAGTAACCATGCATTTCAGTGTTACGCCTTTGGTTGCCCATTTGGATGAAGATGAGAAAGGCAGGAAAGGTTGAAAGTAGGATTAAAGAGAAAATTTAGAATTTTAGTGGACTAATGTTGCAGAGAAATTGACAAGATGCATGAACGCGACTGTTTACAACAGTCAACTATATCACTGTGTCTCTAACAATCGGTTACGACCACCCCGAGGTCTCCAACCATGAAGCCTAACGGGACCTATTTGACCCAGACTCCTGGTTAGGGTTTTCATACCCTCATGCCAGATCTTAGCTTGATCACCCTTGGCTTGGGTGGCGGAGGTATTTTCCCCACCAAAGTGCGAGGACGAAAAGTCGACATCCGAGGCTGTTGAACCTTTGGCAGTTCACCTAGTTGGCCAAAAACTCTGATTCTAAACCAACCAAGAGGAGGCACACCAACCACAGGCACACCTTCCTGGTTGCGGCAGTGATCACCAGCTCACTTGGGCACCTAGGATGTTTGACCCCGTCCAACGGACGCATGATTCAATGAACTGAACATCGGCCGTTAATGGACTCCAGACTCTGAGCTCCACCCTGTTGTCTTGCAGGCCTGGTTCTCTAGCTAAAGGCTTCGGGTGGGGACCCCAAGGTTATCCTCCATCCTCGACCAGGGCAACTGGGAAGTAACACGCCCACACAACGATGAACACATTCTTCAGATTTCTTTTTGTCCATATGTTATGGCACATTCACCAGCCCACTGTAACTGGTCACGTGTTGAAATAATAAATAATAATAAAACCGTGTTCGGTGATAAACTGAAACTGGGGCTACAGCAGTTAAATATGACCTGCGTTTGCAAACTGCATATCGCTGCTAAAGCGTCAACCCGAGCTGGCTTTCGCTCCTCACCGACCGTGTTGCGGAACACCACGCATAGGTAGACAAAATCAGAGAACTGAGTGAAGCGGACTCGTATTAACTTAGGGGTTAGTATTTTTTTTATTACATACCTTAGTGTGATGAACAGCAGGCGGAGGAAGCCCCATAGTCACGAGGACCTATTGTTCAGTAATGCAAACCGGCAATCTAAGCCACGGGACTTGAGGTTCCGAACCACATAAAGCCCCGCTAGATTAGGCGTGGTACTGAAATGGACGACAGCAGAGCTGCCTACTGCCAATGTTGAATGGAAGAACCATGGATTATGGGGGTTCAAAGCAAGCCGGTGAAAGCGACCAAATCACTTCGCCATCACAACCAAGTAAGCAGAGTAATAACTTAGAATTACTCCACCAGTATTCCAGTTTATTGCACATACCACGAACCTTTAGTAACTCTGTGGGATCCTCTATTATTACGCTTTTCCCATTCGCTATACATGATCTGCGCTTGTTTTTACACATTCCACATAACAGATAATGCACAGTAAATATCCCCTATTGGGGATACTACTCTATAACATCCTCAGTCATAGATTGTATCTAAATAAGAACTGCCGTTATTGAGCAAAGGAGACAGGCCAACAACACATGACCTTTTAGGTTGCACATGCATTGCACCACAAATGCATCGATTTAGTTGTCATGAAAATGCCGGTACCAAGACTTGTTTTATGCACAACCTCAAACCAGACAAGTTTAAAGTACATCTCAGCCAGGTTGTTGACTCGTTCTCCGGTTTTCACCGACTGCTTATATTTCTTTCATTTCATTTTATTTTCAAACCGTATTGAATATATAGATAAACATATGCGTGAGAAACAGGTATCTCTGGCTTATTTGCAAAGTTGAATAAATCGACTCCATTAGTACAAGTAGAAACGTTGGCAGTGCAACTGATCTGTGACCAAATGAAATATGAACTGTAAGGGCGTCCCAGAAGTCATACCTTTCTCTTTTTCTCATCGTTTAAGCGTGTTGTTTTGGCATTCTTGTTCGCCTGCAGTAACGGTGCCGCGGCAGGCTCCTCAACGACGCTTTTCTTTGAAGTTGCTGTACTGGCACCTTTTTTACCATCCGCTTTCTTCTTTCCCCCCGCAGTTCCACCTGTTGACGCGTTGGGCGGGTTGCTTGAGGTTTCTTCGGTATCCTCTGCGAGTGAGTGGGTGAATGAAAATGAACGGGAGGATAAGGCGAATAGACAGCGTACAGTCAATGTATGGATAAAACCATGAGTATCCAGCCGGGCAATATGCGGTACGTATCGCATGTTTAAAAAACATGGCCGGTAACATTCAGATATTAACCTACAGGTTTCCTCGAAAAGTGATTGTTCTCAAGACAAACATTGATTCGAATAGGGTCAAGGGTGGCCAGACTGTGACTTAGTGTGGAGGGATCAAAATGAGACTTCCTCCTTTATGGGCTTTGCGTCTAAGGTACGAAACGTTTTTGCGGATTTGACCAAACGGTGAAAAGGAAAAAAAACTCGCGGTTAGCATCATCACTGATTAAGAACACTGACTGATATGTCCAGCGGTCATCTACTCACGGGAAGACCCGTCCTGTCTAGCCCACTCAGCCTATATTTTTAAACTGTTATCGCCCCAGCTTTCCGCTTCACACCACAGTAAACAAAATGAGTGCACGATCGAGGCTCATGGTTGCATGTTTTGTGTGATGAACAGCAGACAGGGTAAGTCCCGTGGACGGGAAAACTTAACCTCGGGACATATAGTGGCGAACCACACTAATCCCCACCAATAGGTGGTGGTGGCATTGACCTGGACGAGAGCAAACCTGCCTGACACCAAAGTTGGGTGGTGGTGGTGGTGAAGGATGGGTTCGAATCTCGGACCATAGAGCTCAAAATACGCCGATAACAGCAACCAAAGCACTGGATCACAACCACCACCACCCTTGAGGATTAAATGACAACACAAACAGAAAAAATCGGGGTTAAAATTGACATACATTATAAGTGTAGAAAAAAATGCTATATATTAAAAGCGACGATTCGAAACAAAAACAAGTAACCAAGCAATGGTTGAGCATTGTGATTTAAAAACTGAACACTGTATTGATTCACTCTTTGCCCCACACACCCCAGCTACAATGACTCCAGTTCTCCGAACATCCCATTTTTGTTTGGTCTCATCACTTCCAGTCAGACGAATAAAAACACATGTGTTCTCTTAAGGTGTCCACCGTACCTGATCCATACAAATTAAGTTCTACCCTTTTTGAACACGGTGCTATGCCAGTGTCTCACATTTTTGCACACACACACAGCTAATCTTTCACTCGAGCTCCGAATTATTCTGAATTGCTGGCACCCAGTGAGAATTACTCCCATCCCCAAAGGAACGTCAAAGGCTCCGATGGCGAACCGGTTCAGACCAATTGCTCTCACCTTCCGCTGGTTTGAAAGTGATGGAGCGATCAGTACTGTATTGCTTTCAGTTATCTCTTACCACCCCCGATG